GGCCGGATGTCAGAATCCAATTATATTTCATCTTTAATTATCAAACATAGAAACTCCCAATTCTGCCTTCTCTGGATTCTGCCATAAGAGGGAGAAAAGGGGGAGAGCAAAGGGGCTTTATGGCCCTCACTTCCTTCAGCACACTTCAAAGGACTGAATGTGTGTTTATTGTGGCCTCTAAGCGTTAACATATCAAAGAAGAGTAATTGCCTTTCATGTAGTTATCTGAAGTCTCCATCCAGACGGAAGAAGAAAGGGGATGGAATTGTGATACTTGAAACTATCACTGGAAGGGGGGTTGATTGGGTGGGACTACTGGGGAACCCCTTAAAACCTTGAATGGGAGAGCTTGAACCCCAAGTCCTGTCTAGCATGCCTGCAACCATTTTCTCTTAATAAAGGATTCCTGTTGGAAGAATTATTCCAAGAGTTCTGTCTTCTTAAGATGCAAAGTGGGGTGGGTCCTTACAGCTACTCCCTTTTATTCTACTGGCTTTTGAAAGCCAATAGAATGGACTCTCTTGAATAGAGTCTAATTCTATTGGCTTTCAAAAGCCAATAGGAATTGTCCAGGCTGTCTCTGCCCTGCTGAGCCCGCCAAAAGCCCCATTCTGCAAACGGTGCTGTACCAGTTGAGTAGTCCTCGACTTACGACCGGTGGAGTAGTCCTCGACTTACGACTGGTTGGGGGTCACGGCATTAAAAAGGTTGAGAACCACTGGTGTAGGGTTTCCTGCCTGAGCAGGGGGTTGGACTAGATGACCTCCAAGGTCCCTTCCAACTTTACTATTATTATTATTAGTAGTAGTAGTAGTAGTAGTAGTATTTATGATGATTAAATAAAATCATAATTTTCTGAAATGAAATATAGCAGAAACTGGTCGGTTGAAAAAATAAAAGTGGAAGGTTTTAGTCAGTTCCTCTGTTGAACAAAGGAACATGAACATGTGAATCCAAATTTTTAACAGACTCATTCCTATTCTGGCAAAATATTATTTATTATGACATCTGAATTGATTCATAATGAACTACAGGTACTCCTTGACTTACATCTGGTTGCTTAGTGACTGTTTGAAGTTATGACAAACCGCCAAAAGGTACTTATCACCCAGTTCTGAAGTTCCAATTATTAGGCCCCTCCCCCTGCAGTCACATGACTGCATTTCAGACACTCAGCATCTGTGTCCTTCAGTTACATTATTGCAATTTACAATCTTTTTGCTGGAAACCACTGTTTATTTCCAGCTTTCAGCAAAAATACCCTATGGTGAAAAATGGGTTCGTTTAACGACTGTGGTATTTGCTTAATGGCTGCAGTGATTCACTTAATCACTGCTTCAAAAAAGTATAATCAGATTGATAACATGGGTGACCCATTTTACGACCGTAATGACTTACAACCATAATGGGCAGGCTCCATTACTGTCATAAATGGAAGACTACCTGTAACCAAGATTTTTTTAAAAAAATAGAAAGTTAATTTCCATTGAGAAAAGTACCGCTTTTCTTTGGTAATCAATAAAATGCAATTGGTATCTTTCTTTCTTTTTTTTACTTGTCCCATGTATTTCTTTTATCTTCTTCCAAGGAAATCAGGAGGCATTGCATCTTTGCAGATTCCCAAGAGGCAAAAGAAAAGAGATTTATAACAAAACTGAAAACTCAAACAAGCTTTGACATGCTTTAGGGCTGCAATAACATCTAGCCATCATTTCACTTCAAATAATAAATAAGGACAGATTGTACTACAGCATGATTTCTTTAACCATGTTTTATTGTTAAATGTTAAATACTGTTAAATATTGAAAAAACACCTTTGAGACATGTTTTAGTGTATAAATCAGAATTGACTGGATTTGCACAGCATGTTATATAAACAAATCACCGTGGCGGGGTTTGCATAGTACATTGGTCAAAAGCCAAAGAAGACAGACATCAGTAATGAAAGAAGCTAAAATTCCATTCTTGATGTTAATTCTACTTTTCTTCCAACCTTTTTTTTCCACTGGTTCAGAGTTCCAGCTGTAACTTCACTCTGCCTTCTTTCCTTAATTTATCATGATAAAAGCCCCTGAGACACAAAGTTATTTGCCAAGATAAACAATCACACCACTTTATGGCAAAGCATGTTAAACTATTATACAATACTGGTTTATTTCTGGCTTGTTTATATGCAATGGACCTTGAGATCAAGGATCATAATGGCTTGCTGTTTTGGAACAGAACAATTATCTTCTTGCAGAAAATGGTGGATGTTTGTAAATATGCTTCCAGGATGACTAATTCAAGACCAGCAGGCTTGGATTTGTACTTTTAAATTACATCAATGAGCCCTTGAGGTCATGTTCAGTTAATATTTTTCAGATGTTTTCTACATGTTTGAGCAATTATTTTGGATTCTGGGCTGAATTTGAATCTTCCCCAAGTCTGTTTACATCCAGTTTGGATTAGAATTAGTCTCTAGTTGGGTTTGCAAACTCCCCTAAGTTAGCAACTTAGTTTCATCCCAACAAAAATTCTGCTCAGAATTCTGTAACAACAATCTGAAGGCTGTTTCAAACTTGCCCTTCATCACAACATGAACATGTTTCAACCTCTTTTTTCTACAATGTCATCATGAAGTTGCCTTCATATCATCCCCTGTCCACTCTTGGAATAGCTTAAAGCCATCTTTAGCTTTTTCATTTTTAGTTTGTGCTTTTCCATTTATTTTTACATAGTTTGGCCATACAAACAAATCTAACCTGCTTTGTGAATAATAGGCTTAAGAGTGTGATCAGAGGATGGGATCTGCGCAGCTCCTGTTAGCCACTTTAGACTATTGTGGACACTTCACTCTGATCACCAACACTGCTCTGCAGAATGTTTTGGCTGCTTAAGGCTAAACCCCTAACTTCTACACCGGCATTGCCCATGTAGTTGTGGGTTCTTTTTTAAAAAATTATACCCAGTTAGATTGATCCAGGCAGGCGTGATGGCTAGCCATTAAAGATGCTGAGCTTGTCAGCTGGAAAGCTGACAGCCCGGGTTTGAGAGCCACACAATGGGGTGAGCACCAGCTCCTCCAATTTGAAAGCATGCAAATGCAATTAGATTAAGAGGTATCACTTCGGTAGGAAGGTAACAGCGTTCCCTGCACCACAGAAAATATCTTCAGACGACACTGGCTCCCTCAGCTTAGAAATGGAGATGAGCACCACCAGGGCTTTTTTTCTCATAGAACGCCTAGAACGGAGTTTCGGCACCTTTTTTGGATGGAACCTTGTAGGGTAGGCAAGGCGGGTTGTATGTGTGTGAGTTCCGCCACCTTTTTTTTTTTTTTTTTTTAGAAAAAAAGCACTGAGCACCACACCCTGGAGTCAGACATGACCGAACAGGGAAACCTTTATCTTAGATTGATCCAAATTCAAAAGACCCACAAAAGCACTGGACCATGCACAGTTCTCTATCTCTCCCTGTAATGGTTGAGGAGTGTAACCAAGATATAAAAGAAATGTGAAGCACATGCATCTAAATGTACTTTCTATTCTCTTTGTCCCATGTTCTATTCCAGTGGTGACGAACCTATGGCACACGTGCCAGAGGAGGCACTTGGAGCCCTCTCTGGGGGACACATGCGCCATTGCCCCAGCCACGCTTCCCCCCACAGCCCCCTCCTCACCAGCAACTCTTCTCCCTGGGCACAGCCCACATGGAGCACCACAGCCAAGAACATAGCCAGGCAGCAGGGACAAGACTCCGCCCTCGCGCCCCATAGCGTGCAGATGATGCTGTGGGGTGTGGGGGGAGGGCATGGCTTCCATGGTGCTATAGGACTGCCTGGGCGATCTGCTGTGGTGGGCCATGGTGAGGGTTGAGCAGGCAGAGCGGGAGATGGAGCGGGGGGAGGGGCAGTTTTTGGGCACTCGGTCTCTAAAAGGTTCGCCATCACTGTTCTATTGCTATTATTTCTGTGCTAATTATTATTACTATAACCATAACTCTATTATACCAATGTTCAATTACTATGGCAATATTTCCTTTTTACTACTATATTATATTCTACAGTATTACTAGAATATTTTCTTCTTACAAATCCTGATTTGTCGCCTGCCTTAAAGGTAGTCCTTGACTTACAACTGCAATTGGAAACATGAATCATTACAGTTATAAATCAGAACACCCATTTGACAGGAAGTGAGTTTATTATCATTTCTGAGGTGATCATTAAGCGAACGCTGTGGATACAGGTGGTCCTCGACTTACAGCCATTCATTTAGTGTTTGTTTGAAGTTACAACCATACGGGGGAAAAAGTGATTTATGACTGTTTTTCATGCTTGTGACTGTTGCAGCATCCCCATGTTCACACAAACAAAATGTGTGGTGCTTGGCAAGTGGCAAGTGTTTATCACAATTACAGTGTCCTGCGGGTCATGTGATCACCTTTTGTGATTTTTTGATCTGCAAAGTCCATGGGGAAGCCAGCTTCCCTTAACAGCCATGTTACTAACTTAACACCTCAATGATTCATTTAACAACGGTGGCAAGAAAGGTCATAAAGTGGGGCAAAACACACTTAACAACTGTCTTGCTTAGCAACATAAATTTTGGGCTCAGTTGTGATTGTAAGTAATAATAATAATAAAGTTGGAAGGGACCTTGGAGGTCATCTAGTCAAGGACTACCTGTATAGCTGTGAAGCCATTCATTCAAATGGGTGGGGTTTTTTTTTGCCAGAAACCATTAAAAAAAATCACAAATCGCTGTCATGTGACTGCAGTCATAAAGCTAACTGGCTGTCAAGGACCTGGCATGCAGTCATGTGACCATGGGGGGCGGAGAATCAAGTGACCATTTACATTGATGATGACTAGCACTGATGATGTTACCTAGTTTGGATAATGAAACGTCTGCAAGAAAACAAGCAAGCTCAGAGAGCACCAAGGACCCCTCATGTCAGCCCTGAGCTACAAATATTCTCCTTTCTTAAAAATGAATTAGAAATTCAGCCCTACAGAGAGTCAAATTAGAGGGACTCCATTGATCTGTGCCCAATGAAGTGATAATAGGCCTTTTTCCCCTGGAAAAGTACAATAGACATGAATGTCAAAACAATGAACAGAAGCACTATTCCAGTGAAGAAAAGCACTTGGAGGAGAGAATCAGCTTCTTCCAGGTCCAGCCATTGGCCAAAGAACTGTAACTCTGTTCTTCCATTACCTGTTAAAAGAGGAAAATGTGGTCATCTTGGACACTTAATAAATAATACTTTACATTAAGAATTGGCAACAAGGCGCCCAGCTCCAAGTGAGGGTTCAATTGATTAGGAAGAAAGGCTTCTGACTGCAAGCAGGTATGAGCACAGCCACTCTCTGCTATTCCTTAAAATAGCATGAGATGAAGATGCTGATGCATTAGCAGGGGACTGGAGGCTAAAACATACAAGGATTGGTTGCTGGAATTGGGTATGTCTAGTTTAAAGAAGAGAAAGACTAGGGGGGACATGGTAGCAGTGTTACAATATCTCAGGGGCTGCCCCAAAGAAGAGGGAGTCAAGCTATTCTCCGAAGCACCTGAAGGCAGGACAAGAAGCAACGGATGGAAACTAATCAAGGAGAGAAGCAACCTAGAACTAAAGAGAAATTTCCTGACAGTTAGAACAATTAACCAGGGGAAGCGGTGAATGCTCCAACACTGGAAGTTTTTAGAAGAGTTTGAACAATAATTTGTCTGAAATGTTATAGAGTTTTCTGCTTGAGCAGGGGGTTGGACTAGAAGACCTCCAAGGTCCCTTCCAACTCTGTTATTCTATTCTATTCTATTCTATTCTATTCTATTCTATTCTATTCTATTCTATTCTATTCTATTCTATTCTAAAATATATCAGCAGCAGAAACACAAATGTGTGCATGACAAGATCCATAAGATAGTGGATGAAATATTGCAATACAAATGTGTTCTCTTTGGACATGTGTGCAGTGTAGATGCATGGACAGAAGAGGCTGGTCCATCACACAACATCCTGTCCTCCATCTTGCCAACTATTACATGCACGCATATACCCATAGATACCACTGAGTGCCTGTTGCATGAATTTGCAATGGCAGTCAGTGGTGTTCTGCGTAACCTGTCAGTAAGTTGGAGTTTTACCTTTTGTAGTAGTCTTTTTTTCGTCAATATTTTTTTCATTTTCTGCAAGAAAAAGTTGGTTTCATTAGTAAGCAGAAGTCTACCACTGCCAATACACTGTCTGGTAGTCTTCATGCATTGCATTAAGCCAGGGATCTTCAAACTTGGCCCTTTTATGACTTGTGGACTTCAACGCTGGCTGAGGAATTCTGGGAGTTGGTCCACAAGTCATAAAAGGGCCAAGTTTGAAGACCCTTGGCTTAATGCAATGCATGAAGACTACCAGACCCAAATAAATAAATCCAATTTATGTGAATAGACATTCAGTACTTAAGTTATGATACTTCTGGACTGGATTTCACCATGAACGTTCTGTTCACAAAGCAACTAATGATTACACTAAGAATAACTAAGCAGTGGCATTCAAAAAACAGCAGCAGAAAAACATCCTAATTTGGTGTATTTTTTAAAAAAAAAGGTCCATCATTGTTCAAGATAATGGAGAAAGTGTGTATCCTCAGATGAAGGAATAATTGAATGAATCTCTGCATAGCTGCCATTTCATAGCAATGATCGCAAATAACAATTGGCATGTTGTTTGGGTTAGGGCTTCATTTGAGAATGGCTCCTTAGAAGAGTGGGTCAAGTGATTCCAAGCCTTCTGCTCCAGTTGAATGGGGAGCTAAGACCAGGACTTGCTATACCTCCTGAGCTGATATAGTCATTTAGCTCACAGGAATTGCACTACTAGACATTTTGAACTGAATGCATGTCAGAAGGCAGAGAGATGCCAAGTGCTTGCTTGTGTAGGACAATATCTTGGGTCTGAAGGTCTACTCAAAACTAGGTCAGCATGCTTGGATGTCTGCAGTCAGCTCACCTGAGTAAAGGCATTGAGGTTATGACCTCCAGAATATTGCTAGAGAGTCACTCATGCCTTTGAAGTAATAATAATAATAATAATAATAATAATAATAATAATAGAAACAAGGTAGATCAAGGAAGCACTGGAAATAATAAAGCAACAAATAACAGCTATAGCCAGGAAAATCAGTAGATATGAAGCTCGAATTGCAAACTATAGGCAGAACCTCCAATTTCAATCCAATCAGAAACGTTTCTACCAATCCATCAATGGAGAAACTGCAAGGAATCAGTCAGTACCTGACAAGGAAGAAACAGTGCAGTTCTGGAAGCAGATATGGGATAACCCAAAGAAATACAACAAGGATGCAGCTTGGTTAAAAGAGGTGGATGCAAATAAAACAGAAGTTGAAATGAAAGAACTAGTAATAACAACAAAAATGGTAGAAAAAAGAGCAAAGAAAATCAAAAATTGGTCAGCACCAGGTGAAGATGAACTGCATGGGTTTTGGTTGAAACATCTAACTGTTATACACCCACTCATTGCCAAGCAGTTCAACAATATACTACAAGGAGGAGAAATTGAAAAGTGGCTAACAACTGGGAAAACCTACCTAATAATGAAAAATCCAGCAAAAGGGGCAACACCAGGTAACTACAGGCCAATTACCTGCTTACCAACAACTTTCAAATTACTAACTGGTGTAGTAGCTGATGCAGTGCAACAGCATCTAGTTGAAAACAATCTCTTTCCACCTGAGCAGAAAGGAAACCGCCCCAATAGCAGAGGAACAAAAGATCAACTCCTAATAGACAAAATGATCTTGGAAAACTGCAAGAGAAGGAAGACCAACCTGAATGTGGCATGGATTGACTACAAAAAGGCATTTGACTTCTGCCACATGATTGGATAATCAAGTGCCTAGAAATAACAGGAGTCAGTAGAAACATCAGAAAATTTGTGCAAAGATCGATGGCACAATGGAAGACACAGTTGCAGATCAATGGTGAGAGGCTGGGAGAGGTTAATATCAAGAGAGGAATATTTCAAGGAGATTCATTATCACCATTACTATTTGTTATTGCACTGTTTCCTCTGTCAACAATACTGAATAACTCAGGACATGGCTATCAAACATTAAAAACATCTGCCAGACTATCCCATCTCCTTTACATGGATGATCTGAAACTGTATGGAAAAACATCATCTGAAATAGAATCGCTGCTCAACACTGTCCGTATATATAGCCAAGATATTGTAATGGAGTTTGGCTTGGACAAATGTGCCACACTGACTATCAAACAAGGAAAAATAATGAAAACTGAAGGAATCAAGAGGCCCCACGAAAATAACATTAAGAGTCTGGATGAGGAAGAGTACTACAAATACTTGGGTATCCTTCAAGCTGACAACATCAAGCACACTGAAGTCAAGAAAAAGATTAGAGGTGAATACATCAAGAGAGTGAAGAAGATCTTAAAATCCAAACTCAATGGAGGAAATACCATAAGGCAATCAACACCTGGGCAATCCCAGTTATTAGGTACACAGCTTTTCTTTTTTTTGTTTTTATTCTTTTTTCTTGTTTCCTTTTTTTTTTCTTCTTGTCTTTTTTGGTTTTTTTTTTTTTCTCTTTTTCTTTTTTTTTGTTTTTTTCATTTTTTTTTTGTTTCTTTTTTTTTCTTTGTTTGTGTCTTTTCGTTCGTTTTTTGTTTTTTGTTTTTTTTTTGTTTTCTTTTGGAATAGTGGACTGGACTCAAGCAGAACTAAAAGCAATGGATAGGCAGACCAGAAAAAGAATGACAATGAATCATGCCCTTCATCCACGCAGTGACATTGATAGACTTTATCTACCAAGGCAAATAGGGGGGTGTGGAATGCTACAAGTACATCAGATGGTTGAAGAAGAAAAAATGGCTTTGGAAGAATATCTGAAGAACAATGATGAAGATGCACTGAAATTAGTATAGCAGGAAGGCTTACTAACTACTGGAGAGACCAAACTGGCCTACAAGAAAGACCAAATGAAGAACAGAATAGAGGCATGGGAAGACAAAGCACTACATGGCCAAGACATGAAAAAAATAGCTGGGAAAGCAGATAATAATAAAACCTGGCAATGGCTAAGAGCAGGAAAATTGAAGAAAGAGACCGAAGGACTAATTCTGGCTGCACAAGACAAAGCCTTAAGGACAAATGCATACAAAGTCAAAATTGAGAAGACAGCAACAGACAGTAAGTGCCACCTATGCAAAGAAACTGAAGAAACAGTGGACCACCTGGTAAGCTGTTGCAAGAAGATTGCACAGACTGACTACAAGCAGCAGCATGACAAAGTAACAACAATGGTGCATTGGAAGATCTGAAAAAAAATATCATTTGCCTGTAAGCAAAAACTGGTGGGATCATAAAATAGAGAAAGTCATAGAAAATGATAAAATTAAACTGCTCGGGGACTTCAGAATTCAAACAGACAAGCACCTGCAACATAACACCCCAGACTTAACAATTGTCGATAAGAAAGACAAAAAAGTCTGGCTAGTGGACGTGGCAATGCCTGGAGACAGCAGAATAGACGAGAAAGAACTGGAGAAGATAACAAAATACAAAAACCTACAAATAGAAATAGAAAGACTGTGGCAAAAGCAAGCAAGGGTAGTACCAATAGTAATAGGCTCCTTGGGTGCAATCCCAAAACAACTGGAGCACCACTTGAACACCGTTGGCATTGACAAATTCGCTATTAGTCAATTGCAAAAGGCGGCCTTATTAGGAACTGCTTCCATCCTGCGACGATATCTGTAATACCATCAAACACCCACATCTGCCTATCCCAGATCCTGGGTAAGGACTCGATAGGTAGACAAAATGCCAAATCCAGTCTGAACATCTGGCTGACTGTGCGATGATCGATAATAATAATAATCTGCAGTGCCTGGAGACAGCAGAATAGACGAGAAAGAACTGGAGAAGATAAGAAAATACAAAGACCTACAAATAGAAATAGAAAGACTGTGGCAAAGGCAAGTAAGGGTAGTACCAATAGTAATAGGCGCCTTGGGTGCAATCCCAAAACAACTGGAGCACCACTTGAACACCATTGGCATTGACAAATTTGCCATTAGTCAATTGCAAAAGGCGGCCTTGCTAGGAACTGCTTCCATCCTGCGATGATACCTGTAATACCATCAAACATCCACATCTGCCTATCCCAGGTCCTGGGTAAGGACTCGATAGGTAGACAAAATGCCAAATCCAGTTTGAACATCTGGCTGACTGTGCGATGATCCATAATAATAATAATGATAATAAAGTTGGAAGGGACCTTGGAGGTCATCGAGTCCAACCCCCTGCTCAGGCAGAGAGACTTTGGGACTGCTTGGTAGAAGAACTGGAACATCTTCTTCAGAACTTGGGTTTTAGTCTCCTTGTCTTCTGAAACTTTGTATAAGACTGAAACAGGGTTGACCTCTAACCTTTGGACTAATGCACCATTAATTCTTGTGTGCCATAACTACCCTTTTAAAATTTGAACTAAATTAAAGCTGTGCTTTAGCCACCTTGTGTCCCTATGCCTAACCTAGGACAAGATTGCCTTGGGTCATTCTGGGGAAGAATCTAGAGGGAGGGGCCATCCTGGTGGCTGTCAGAGATAAACCAGAGAAGGAGGAGGGTTTCCCACAAATCCAGCCCAACATTTGCTGCCAAAGAACTGTAGCCTATTTTTATTACCTTTAATCATTTGTATTAAAATCATTAATAAAAATAATAACCTATTTTATTATTTTATATGTTATTTTAATGTACATTATTCTGTTTATACTTATGCCTGTTTTATTACCTGCTTTTATAATGGTGTATGTGGTTTCCATCCCTGCTTGAATGTGATTGTGCACATGGCAATGTAAAAGCCAGGTCCCAGGATTAAATGCTACAAGTTCAATTGTCTGAAAAGTTGTAGGGATAAGGTCATACACATCTCCTCTGTGATGGTGATTCATCTGTGGAAAGACAGGAAGCATTATAAAGATTTCATACACTTAGGGTTAGAGTTAACTCTCGGTGAATTCGTAGAGCGAAATGGAAACCAACAACAGATTTGGAGCCCATGGGTATGGTTAGGGGGGTACATACTTTCCAAGCGCATACTTTCCTTATCTATATTTCCTGGTGAAATAGATGGGAAAATCCCATTGGTGAGAAAAACCCACTTAGGGTTAGGGTTATGTCTCCATGAATTCGTAGAGTGAAATGGACACCACCAACGGATTCGGAGCCCATGGTTATGGTTTGGAGGGTCCAAACTTTCTGAACCTATCTTATGTAGGTTTCCTGCCACAATTGGAGCTGAAAATTCCATCAATAAGTCAGGTGGTCGCTAATGGAAACACACCTTGATTTTATGACTTTTTTTGCCATAGTTGTTAAGGTAATCATGCATTCATTAAGTGAATTTGGCTTCCCCCACCCCATTGACTTTGCTTGTCGGAAGCTGACTGGGAAGGTTGCAAATGGCATTCACCTAATCCCGGGATGCTGCATTCTGTCACAAATATATTCTGATTGTCAAGTGCCTGAAATTTGATTATGTGACTATAGGGAGGCTGCAACAGTCATAGCTACAAGGACTGCTTGTAAGTCACTATTTTTAATGCTGTCGTAACTTCAAATGGTCATTAAATGAATGGTTGTAAGTTGAGGACTACCTGTATTGCTAGAAGCAGTGTTTCTCAACCTTGGCAACTTTAAGACATGTGGACTTCAACTCCCAGAATTCTCCAGCCAGCATTTATAGCATTGCTGGCTACAGAATTCTGGGAATTGAAGTCCACACATCTTAAAATTGTCAAGGTTGAGAAACACTGTCTAGAGTTACAGTTCAGGAAACATATTCTGTTCCTCTTTTACAATTCATTTTTTAAAAATAATTCGCATATTCTGGCAAACAGGCTGATTAAATGGCTGTGTTCACACAATACACCTAAGCAGATTTGTTAAAGAGTTAATATCTGCATATGTACAATGTGCTAAGTTTGATATAGAGTTAATTTCTTTAGTGGCTTAGCATGTTGTTCATTTATAGTTTACTATATTGCACAAACTCAAAACATAAGGTAATTCAATAACTGAGTTACTGTAAGCGTGCTGTTTGAATGCAATTGTAGAAAGTTATTGTACATATGTAACCCTCCATGTAGAGTGGCTTATATCAAATCCATAAAACAATAATTTTTGCTCCACAAAATATAATGTATTACTATTCTGTGCTTCCTGTTTGCAGTGTTTTGAAAATCTAGCATTTCCTATATAGATTTACTAAAATAGAAATCATACTTATTTTTTTACTCAGAAGTACATTTAGGCTCTGAAAGTATGGAGTATGCCCCAAGCAGCATTCTAAATCTATTACCAAATTGCAATTGTTTAATGTGACAGAAAGTGATTAAGACTGGAAAGTACTCATATTAACTATATGACCATATAACTATATGATTAAAATCAAATGTAAATGAAATTGCTTTTTTTCCTATTTTCTTTTCTTTTGTCCTGGGTCCACCAATTACTTTTGGGAGTATCACCCTGAATATGTCACTTAAGCCAAAGGTGATCCTTAGCACAAAAAGAATTGCCCAACCTGGTCAACACCAACCTTGAAAATAAAAGTTTCACCATGAAAATGGACAGTATGGATATCAAGTTCATTTCCCATTCCTATCAGGTACCAATTTGTGTCGTCTCCTTCATTCATTATCAGCCCAGGGAGATTATTAAAGATTTTCCCATTGATTGCTGAAAAAAAACACACAAGGGACAGATGTGAAAGGAATGAATCACAGATCTGAGTGTTCCTCTGTGTCTTGAAAGCCATAACGTAGCTGAAGGTTGAAATGAGGGGTCCTTTGTGCCCTCTGAGCTTGTTTCTTTTCATGCAGACCTTTCATTACCCAAACTAAAGGAGCATGGTGACTTGCATGGTTAGGACGCCAAGGTGGAGATTAGCAAGCCTGTGTTTGAGACCTGAATGTTGCCTTGGGTTGGGCCGAGCTCCTGTCCTTTGCTCCAACTCCTGCTGAGGACATGAAAGAAGCATCCCCCGGGCAATGGTGATCTAATCGGCTTATCCTTTCAACCCAGAAGTGCCTCAGTGCTTCTGTCATGAGTGCGATGTAATTACCCATACTAGGTAACATCGTCAGTGCTCAAGCATGGATCAAGCACTGATGCTGTTACCTAGTTTGGGTAATGAAATGTCTGCAAGAAAATAACCAAGTTCAGAGAGCACGAAGGACCCCTCACTTGAAACACAGCATATGTTATTCCAAAGACTTTTGGAATTATTAGTTTGGATTCAGAGAGTCCTTTACGTAAGCAAATTCTCCGTCTCCTTTTCTCTGATTTCTACATCCTTCCGTTGTGGGATCCCCAGTGCTTTTTTTTTTTTTTGTAAAAAGAAAAGGTGCCGGAACTCACACACGTCATACAACCCGCCTTGCCTACCCTACAAGGTTCCATCCCAAAAAGGTGCCGGAACTCCGTTCTGGGCGTTCTATGACAAAAAAAAAAAAAAAGCCCTGGTGACCCCTAATATATACTTCACTATTGCAGAAATTCTTTGAGCACCAGGGGCAACTGTGAGGGACACCCAGATGACCTCAGATCCAATGGGAATTGAATCTGAGAACTTTATTTGTATGTCTCTGACCACCAAGTCTTCATTTGCACGCCTTTTTGCTAAAAAAAAACCTCACATATCAATGCATTTTGAGAGTAAAATGGGACTCACATGCTCTATCATGTTAAAAACACAAGGAAACTGTAATATAAACTCTAAAACAGAATGTGGTTTAAAGATAAAGAAAAAAAACCTCATAAAATATTGATCTGAAAACCTACTGATACTCGCCTCCACTGGATGATAATTCTGGTTTTGCCAACAGTGTGTGATGGTCTTTCTACTCTTAAATATTGTGTGACTCCCAACCACAAAAATGTGGCTCCTGCCTTAAATCCTAGTTTGCAGCCAGCTACATTCACACAACCTATTCAACCCAACAGAAGCAAACCACATTATAGTTCAGTGCACTATTT